CTTTTATTCCTTTCTGTAGTTAATAATTAACAAAAGTTAATTTAACTAATAACAGAAAATAAAAGGATAATATCACATTAGATGTCATTAATATATAGCAACAATAGTGTAGTTTAGGAATAACAATTAGTTATACATTAATATTCAATTGATATATCCATGTATCTTTATTTTCCTACTTGATATTATAAAATAAAATAAAATAAAATAAAAAAAAAAAAAAAGTTATAATAAAAGAATATATTGTAAAAAGTTTTATAATATTAAATTTTTTAAATAAGTTTTTCTTATTATATTTTAGAAATATCTAGACCATTTTAACTAATATATTTAAAAATAATATTTTGTATAATATTGGAAAGTAAGACTAAGTTAATGCATATTTATTAATGAGTTGAAGTGTCAGATAAATTGTAGTGAATACAGTTTGTATTAAAGAACAAGTATGAAAATATTTTGTAACAAAGAAAATAAATATGAAATTCATTTAGTAGTTTTAAATTGATCAGATTATGTGTTGATTTTTGATTTTAGTTGATATATTATCAGGTAAATTTTCAATTTATTTCTAAGATAAAAGAGTTCTATTCTTGATTGCATTTCTGAGATGACTATATAACTAAAATATAAATTTTGCAAATGTTTTTAATAAAACTTTTAGTAGGCTGTTCTATAAAGTATTAATCCCAATAAAGAATATGGTATGGATTGTGAATATTAGTATAGTTAAAGAGTAAATCTGAAAAAAGATTGTGCTGTTTTGCAAGTAAGTCAGTAAGATTGTTAAGAGTATTGTTAGAATGAGCTTTTATAATAAATTTAATATAATAAAATATTATAAAAGTTCATATAAAAAATTGTTAAAACAATTTAATATTGAGAGGTCCTAATTCAGCGAGTCTGTCACTAATCGAAGGTCAGCTTTGTGTAATGTTCGGATGGCTTTCAGTCGAAAGAGGCATGTAGATTTGGCAAGTGATTTCAATTTGGTCTGGCTTATCCTGAATAGTCTACGCTACGTCAAGACTATCACTCTATTTCTTCTAACAGTGCAGTATTTCTCACTACGTCAGGAATTACTGGACAATCGGGTTGGATTTACTACTATTCCAGGTTAGGTTTATTCTTTAACAATGGTTCTCTACAGTCACTCGTAGATGAACCTTTCATTCAATTTATTCTGTCAGGTAGAGGAAATCTGCTTTATTATGTGGGCGAAACTACATGTTATTTATAACTAATTCTTTATTTATTTTTAGAATGCCAATAATCATTATAATGATTATAATGATTATAATGCTTGTATTGATTATAATAATTATAATCAATATAAGCAATATAATCAATATAATCATTATAAGTGGTTATCCCAAGTATGGTAAAAGATCTTCATACTCTGGGGGGCGTGACTTGAGGTCGAATGGCGAAGATCCATGATGAAATCGGCAACTTGTGGATCACGTGTCTTGGGTCTAACAATATAAAAAAATTCATTGAAAAATTTGGTATAAAAAAATTTTATTGAAAAAGTTCATTATAAGAAATTCAATAAAAAAGAAGTTCATTGAAAAGTTCATTCAAATAAAATTGTTGAAAAAATTCATTATAAAAAAAAAAGTTTATTAAACATTTTATTATAAGAGATTTTAATAAAAAAAATTCTGTTATAAGAAAGTTCATTGAAAAGTTATAAAAAGTTATAAAAAAGTTCTTTATACGTATCTAGAATTGATTGTACAGATAGAAAATTAAAATGTGAAACAATAAATCACATTAGATCCGATAAAATTTAAGTGGATGAGAAATCATATGACTGCCCACTCGACTATTAGCGATGTTGGTGTTTTTAACATCAATGGTCTCTGCTGTTGGTTCTAAACACTCCCATTTCATTTTCCGATTTCAAAATTTTGACACACAAATAAGGTTTTTTAAACTCTCATTTATTTCCAAAATACATTATTTTTTAAACTCTGAAAACCTCAAGTACAGTAATTAAAATCAAAAAACTATAAAATAAATTTAATTTTATTAAAACTTTAATAACAAATACAGTAACATAAAAAAATTTAAAATCTTATTTTTAAAAAATTATCAAAATTTTAACTAGTACAAAAACTCATACCCGAGGCAACGCCCGGGCCTAAGATCTAGTATAATTTAAATTTTCCAATTATAAAAATCAATATCCCAATTCTTTTAGCAACTTTTTTGCATCATTATTTCCACATGAAGCAGCTAATTTTAATTTACTAATTCCAAGATCATGATTTATTTCAACGCTAAACTTTCCATTTACGTATATATTACCTAGATTATATAACGCTACATGATTTCCATTATCAGCAGCCATCGTTAAGTATTTAATAAATTCTTGAATCTCATCCGGTGATATCTTTTCTCGATTTGTAATAATTGTAAATGCATAACGCAATTGTGCCCCAGAGATACCTTCATCTGCTGCCTCTTTAAAAAGTCGAATAGCTTCCTCCTGATTTTTTTCAACATAACCTTCCCATAAATAGTATCCTTTCCAATATTTGGCCAACGACTTTCCGATTTCTGCATTGTCCACAAAACAATCCCACGCTTGCTTTCTTTTTTCATTTTTCGCCTCATTAGATTCGTTTTTTCTTATTTGTTGATGAATTTTTAATCCTTCATCAAGAGGCATTATTGTCTTTATACTATAATTGACAATAGAGCAGTCATCAAAATCTTCTTCAAAATCTTCAGAATAATTTTCGCCATCTAAATCTAGTATCTTATCAGGAAATATTTGTGGCAAAGAACCAGGCTTAACATGTTTTTTAGCTGACTCTTCTATCTTTATAAGTAACATACACAAATTTATTCTCTGGTTTGGTTCATGGAGCCAGGCTTAAAAAGATACCAAGATAGGATATAAAAAGAAACATATTAAATAAAATATTCAGACTATACACACATGTGCGTAAAATATGGATGCAATGAAGAGAAAAATCCGTAATCGGACTTTCAATTATACTGTATACCGAACACAATCAGAGCAATGTGGATTTTAGTAGTAACAACAATAGCACTAGTGATATTATCGCATCTGAAGTAACGATTTGAGTGTTGCTAAAGAAAAACCCACAATTCTAAAAATAGGGTTATTATGAAACTTATAATAAATCTATTTTTAGAATTGCTGGTTTTCCTTTAGCGACACTCATTTATCTAAGTAGCCACTTTATATATCTAAAGTAGTACCCTGGCTAAAATTATAACTTAACAGTTAATGCATACGTGAAGATCTAATTTCAGGGGCTTAATTTTAGTCAGGCGCACTTTTAGCCAGGCGCTACTTTAGATAAATCGCTACTTTTATATGTAACAATATCACGACAACCACATAACCAAATCTGATCAAAGTGGATTCGGAATTTTTACCGTATTCTATCGTAAATAGGCGCCATCCCCCGCTAATCTGATATTTAAAAAAATGGGGAAATGGGACAGTGCTTATTTATGGTAGAATACAGTATATAAAACCAGCATTTTAGGGTTGATTTTATCATATGGACACCCTTACCCTAACCTTAATTTAACTAGGAATTTCAAATCCACTTAAATTCTGTTCCTACTTACAACAGTTATATAGAATTAAATCAATTTCGGTCAGATTAGTAATATGGTTGTCGTGATATCACTAGAGCTATTTTTTCTACTATTAAAATCCACTGGCTCTGGACACAAATCCTTAGTAAATCGAAATTACAGCAGAGACATTGCCCGATCCAAAGTGAATTACTCTCACCTGTAATCAATTACAAATTAAATTATTTATGTTGGATTCAATTGTGATGGATATAATCCCTCACCAGTTTCAATATACATGTAACATTTAACGTCTCTGCTGTAAATCGAAATTTGAAACCCCGATGATAGGTTTGGCAGCACTCATATAAATAATATTTACCGTATCTGATAATGTCTGCCAATGTTTGCTGAATTTCTTTTTCCTTTTCGTCTTTCGCTCTACCAAAAACAAGTTTTTCTCTTTGGCCACTTGTTACATGTTTTCTTATTTTGTCGAGAGCATCTTTATCGTTATTATATTTGTTGTATGGGTATTTTTCAAATGAAAGTTCCCAGAGCATCATTCCAAAGCTTTATAACATTATATTTAGAATATTAAATTTAAAATAAATTTATAAATATATATGTTATGCCCAAATTAAAACTACGTCAGATCAAAATCATTCTATTTTCGCTAATACCTAACATAGGAACTGAACCCGCCTTAATAAAACTCCGCGTTTAACTTTTGATCTAACGCAAATTTTATCTGATTGGTTACATATATTTATAAATAATTATAAACAATTACCTAAAAATTTCACATTTTGTATTATAAGTTTTTTCTTCCATTTTTTCAGGTGCCATCCAACGCAAGATGTTTAGATCCGGAATTTCCTTAGATATATCATTAAACTCACGAGCAATATTGAAATTTGCGATCTTAGGCTCATAAAACTTGGTTAACTACTTAAATGATTAGAATAATTATTATTCGATTTTAAAATAATTGAAATTACAATATGAATTTCTTACCATAATATTTTCGCAACGAATGTCATGATGATATACATTCATCGAATCCAAAAATGCAATTCCACGACATATGTCCCGAGCTAAACTTATTTTTGTCTCCCATCCAATGTCATGCTTCTCATAAAGATCTTTTAAAGATTTTAACTCTGCCCACTCTAAAACTTGAACATCATTTCCCTCGATTTTAGATAATCCATAAAACTTAAGGATATATGGACTTATTCCTAACTTCCCTAAGATTGCTAAATATGTCTGAACTCCTACATCTTTACTAAGATCTATAGGTTTACATTCGACGTCAATATGCTTATATATTCTTTTAATTCTTTCGTCAGATTGGTCGCAAATGTGCAGTTGGTCGGTTTCTATTTTTGTTGGTTTAAATACTGATTTATCTCCCGACTGCGATTTCATCAACAGAACTTCTTGCCCAACTCTCTCAATTTTATCGATGACAACATCTTGAGTGTAAATAAGAATCTGCATGTGTTACAAATTATATTACAATTAGTCTCAATAATAGTAGTTACATTCTTATTTATTTTCGTAAATACCTTCTTCATTTCTTCAATATCCTCTTCTAAACTTTCAAAATCTTTTTTTCTCTGTGCTTCATTATCAACCAACACACTAAAGTTTAAATCTCTCATTGTTGTATCAAACTCATCCGTTAGACTTATAAACTTTTCTTTAATTAAAACTGCTTCAAGTTTCTTTCTAAAATTTCCCATTTTTGATAATTCCTCTTCGAATCCCTTAATTTTTTCTAAAATATTTGTAAATCTTTGAAAGGTATTATAGAATTTTTGATCTCCGGACTTTTCTTTATTAAATTTCTTTGTTCTCCTCAATTTTTCGATTGCTCCTTGGGCGTCAATCACACGTTCCATTAACCTTTCACATGTATTTCTGTTATATTGCGTTGCATCGTAAATATCAATAATTTCTTTAATCAATTTCACTGCAATGTCGAATAACGGAATATATGGTGATACAATGTCGACACCCTTTCCTATTACATAGGCTACTCCTTTACTGTAGTCTTTTACATTATCCATAAATATAGTCGATTTGTTATTAGTATATTGACTATGATCATTTTGATCTTGGGACATTTTAGTCTTTTTTTAAAAAATAAAATATTGAAAAAAAAGAAGGAACACGTATCAATGTTTTTTTATAAGTTCTTTAATTTCAACAATCATTTCAATCATTATTACTCAACAGTTCTTGTTACAGTTATATCTATTTAGGTTATATGCGTTTGATAATGTATACTGCAGATGAATACCATAATGATATTTTTGTAAATATGTATGTACAGTATATCGATATAGTCGAGCTACATAGTGCGATAAATTAGGATAAACACGATTTAACCCTGTTTATTAACACAATTATTTATAAAAGGTATATTAACATGCATATCAAATTAGGTATTGTAATAGCATAAAAAAGATTTGGTAGAGGTAATTGAATTTGACGTTCATACTTAGTTTCTTAACTATATAATCATAATCATGTCTTTTACTACAGCTGAAGTTTTTAGCGCTGCTGCTGATATATTTTCTGTTTATATTCCTGTAATCAGTGCAGTTAAAGTATTAGTTGGGGAAATTTATCAAATTTATGAAAATGCAGAATGTAATAAAGAATTTTGCCTGATTATGGTTGATAGAGTAAAAGCAGCAGAATATTCGATGGAGAAAATTATTAGAAGTATGGAAAGGAATAAGGAAGATTTTCGTGAAAAATCTTTTTATTTAGCTTTTGAAAGATTTAAAAATACT